GATTGGAAGCCACTGCATAATTGGCCGGCTTGGATTGCCCATGAGATTCCACGTCCATGGTCATTTGTTTTTCCATTTGTAAGCACTCCTTCCAAGTTCATTGATTCGTGTATCTAAATCGTTTACCTTGTGTGTGTTAAAGGGACATGTATCGCAATTGCGCTCCGGGTGATCCCATTTTCAAGAACTTATAAGACAATACCACTTATGATGTAAATATTACAGCTCTTGAAAATAAAGAAGAGACACAGGTTCTTAATTCACACAAGTCATAATTAAACAATTCGTCATCAATTACATCATACGTGTATATTGACAATTAGTTCTGCATTCTTTTTTATTGAAACTTGATTTTGCTAATATATCAAATGAAATTGGGAATAGCGGATATTTTACCACTTCAAAGTTCAAATGTCTGTATTCCTGGTGTCAATATGTTTTAATTTGACCAAATGGAATTCGCCTTGCTATGAATTATAGTAAGTTGATTACTAGATACACAATGTTGACACAAAATATATTCAATAACAAACTTTAACCTTGCAAATTATTGTATGGTTAAACATAGGATTCATGATTTTTACGGATTCTAATGAGATAAGCCTTGATTGAGAAGCAGAAGTTTTAAATAATAAAATTAGTTGGATGAGTGTTTTTGTGATGCTGAAAAGGTCACGTTGATTTTGGCACCATTCAAAATTAATAAAGGTGAAGTGTTCATTATGTGTGAAACAACTCTTTCTTTGACATTTCCAGCTTCATGACAAGGTAATGACATGAAAGGTTACGATCATTAGGAACAGTTCTTTCCCAGTTCTGGCTCTAAGACCCCGTTCTCACTCACTTCGTTGGAGCGCTCTGGAGCGCTCTAACTAAGACCCGCTCCTCAGGAGCGGTTCTTAGGTGAGTGAGAACGTTCAAAGTGGTCCAGGAAGCGGACTTCTGGACCGCTCCAGAAGTCCACCTTCCGAGGTGGTCTTGAGGAGCGGGTCTTATTAAGAGCGCTCCAGAGCGCTCTAACGTGCAATGTGAACGGAAGCGTACTTTGAGCGGAAGTGAGCTAGTGACGTTCCGGGCGAAACATGTAGTACGGTACATACGGTTTGTATTCCGCGCGCGAAAAAATTGACCCGCCTACCTGAGCTGCCATAGCAACAAGACCACTTTGACTCGTGGAGCGGTTTGAGCCATAAAAACTGCTCGGAGTGTGAACGCTCGCAAACCGTTCCTCAAGACCCGTTCCTCTGGAGCGGTCTGGAGCGGTCTAACTAAGACCACTTTCAAAGTGAGTGAGAACGGGGTCTAATATGATCATTTTAAAATGGCACTGCTCAATTATGTGCAGCTCACGTATACTGCTCATTTATGCACAGCTTATTAAACAGTTTGATGTTCGCTAGTGTATACACGATGCTGATTCTGAGAAATACTGAAATTACATTTTAATAAACCATGTACATGTAGATGTTATGTGGCATACTAAATACAAACTTTTGCTGAATAAAATTCCCCTTTTCTCATAAGACTTCTCAGAATTATCATTAGTCCAAAATAAAAAAAAAATCTTTATCTACATGTATGATGACAGATTGCATTAACCAATATATATGAAAGTCTATTAGGTCATGCAGCAGTGCTATATAATTTTAACATTTCATAAATAAATTTGAATATTTCCAAATAAGAGGTGAAATTTATCAAGTACTTCTCAAGAATATCAGAGACATAGTCGAACCTAAACTAAATTGTGACTAATTCCTTCATCACTTCTAAAAGACAGAAAACTGTCTCATCTCCACCTCCGAGGGACGTATCGCTCGCACGGGAGTGAGCGATGTTTCATATTGTTCAAAACATGAAATATGTTTTGTCTCCTCTCTTTTCCTGAATTCTTTTATCTTCTAGTTCGACCACCCTTGAGGGCATATATATATATAAAACAATTCAAGACAGCGCAGTGCAAAATGAGAACAGACTGCAAACTATTGTCACAGTTTCCGCAAGCTCCACCTCTTCCTTTTGTAGGACTTGTCACTTTTGTTGACGAAAATTGTTTTTAAAGAAATTGGTTTGAATATATAATTCTCTTGAGGTTTCTGTAGGGCTATTGGCATGTATGTCATTATTACTCATTGTGAAAGTAAAGAAATCCTGAGAGTTGTCCTACTGTAGGGCCTATAGACATCTAGACGCTTTCTTCCGAATGGGGAGACATTTTCTTTTATTGATCAAAACATAATGTAGCAAATTATTACCAGATTAACCTGAAGCAAAATCTATGCATTATCTTTGCAAATTTCCTTTCAAATTGGCAACTTCCATCTTATGTGTTAACAACACACGCAAACATTCTGCACCCTTGCAATACGCCTCCTCCGCAACATCTTTGGTCCTTGTACCCCTATCAAACCACACCCAAGCCATTTGTACCCCTGCATTACCCCTCCTCCACAAGTCTTTGGTCCTTGAACCCTAACAAACTATACCCAGTCCTAGATCTTTGATGGCATTTCAAGCTCCAGTAAATGGGTGATGATGGAATCAGGTTGAATGGGGGAGCACCCTCCCCTCTGGGGGCTCAACTTAATACTCTAATCAAATGCATACAATACCCTGATAATTGAGATACATGATCATGATATTTTCCCCCTTTTCATAAACATGTTGTAAAGGCTCCTGTTGCCCAGGACAGGCTATCATACTGATGATGTCATGTCGCTGGTACATTCATGGACCTATATCCCAGGGGAATTCTAGGGGGTACATTGCCCTACAAAGAGGAATCACTTAAGCCTACAATTATTAATGGATAACTTGTTCAGTATGAAATTAACAAAATGATGCATTGAATTGATATCCCTCATGAGCATGCACGCTCCACATCCACACAAAAAATTAAGTATCCTATTATTCTGTCTTTATTCTACTGTTTCTAATTGTTGAAGCATTGTGTAAGTAAAATGTAAATGACATGCTGAAGCAATTTAACAACAAGAATTATGATTGGTAAAAATGACAATATTGGACAGGACTATTAAAAATATAAGCCTAATATAATTGAAGGTATTTCAAGGATCCCAAATTGAATATTAGTTCAAATGTTGAACGATGTGTTTACAATATCAGGGTTTAAAAACTCTGCAGCATTATAAAATGTAAACATATCAAAAACCAGGTCACCAAGTTTCTGTCAAATTCCTATTGGCCTTTAAGTCTAATAGCTGAAAGATCAAAGGGAAATCTGTTACTATTTTGTTACATTACAACAAAAAGAATAGTTCAAAAAGTAAAAATCAAATGGTATAAATGGAAGCTTAAGGAACAAAGCTATTTCATCTTTTAAACAAAATTATACTAATTATCATTTTTAAAGGAAAAATAACTACCAAAAGACAAGAGAGAAATCAGTTGTCTTATCTTATTACATAAGATTTTTTGTTTAAATAAACAAAATATTGTTGGTGATAATATGCAAAATTGACTGATTGCCATAAACACTTCAACAACAACAACGCAAGTAAAAATAATGGGCTCTGGTTGGCTGCCAGAAATTTAGAAAACTAGGCGTGATACCTAACCAGGCATTTAATGAAGATGGGCAGTAGCAAAATTAGAGAGAAAAATCTATTAGCTTTCATCTATTTTGTGATATACTCTGATGAATGCAAGACGAAAAGCTGTATAGTACGTCTGTAATTTCTGTATTCGTTGGTATTCTTCAATTTTGTAGTATTAAGTATCTCTTTAAAAAAATGTTGAAACAGTATACAGTTGTAGCTCTCACAACATAACATTATCACACTGTATCTCAAGATAGAACAGGTTAACGCTAGGCTTGCTTCGACTTCTTTCCCCCGACATTGCGTGTTACCTTAACTTCCTGAGAAGTCCTTTGTGACTCTACAACCTGACTGTCATATACGCTCAGATTGTCACAAGCATGGCACAATCCCCTCAAAGTCCCCTCCAATTGTTATTTCTAAGACAAACCTCTAAAGAAGAAGAAGAAGGAAAAAAATGAGGGGTGGAAGCACCAATTTCCTTCTGGCGGTCAGCTAATTTGTCAGCGATCACTCCCTTCTACCCATGAAAACCTTTTGTGTCAATGAATTGTTCTGACTGAGTCACTCTTTGCTACATTTGCCGCAGAGATGATACACATTCTAGGAGTTATTTCTAGCTTCATGAAAATGCCAATAAAGAGGAACTCCATACACACCCATAAAACTCACATCCAATAAACTCTGAAAAATTAACTTAATTTGCTGTAGTGCTGTGGTTGCTGTTACTTTAAAATGAAAGAGACATTAATTACTGAAAATTGATAAAAGAGTTCATTGCTCTGGTGGCAATGACAACAGTGTAATAACCTTTAAGAGAATTTAGTATCATCACAGAATCCTTGCTCTTCATTACTTTTAACAGACTGAGGGAATGCTAGAAGTACAAGTGCATTACAACGTTTACCTTCTTATTATATAATCAACAGAAGATATATTATATAGGACTCCAAGGAGATGTTTGCTGGTATCCCACCTCCTTCCATGAAGAGTTAAGACCATGCCGGCAGGAACAAACATTGCAACATTTCAATATATAGTAAAGTATTTACTTCTATCAGTTAAGCTCTTTCATGGTATTTTAAAAATAAAATACCTCAACTCTTCTAGTGCAATTCTTCAAATAATGAATAATAACAGCAAGTATTGCACTTTATTACTGAATTAAATAATGGATACTGTTTTTTTCAAAAGTGTCATCCCTTTGTTTTTCAGTTTATGTAAATCATTTAAATCAACCTCAAGATGGGATTCTTTTGAGAAGAATAATTAAGAAACTTTTAAGGTACTTCTGTATCTTTTAAGATACAGAAGTTAAAGGAGTTCACTATGACATTTTATTTTGCTGTCAGTCTTTGGGGGCAGTTTACAATATCACACGTTAATAATAAGGCATTAACTTGTTGGATAACTGATTTGGTCATCATGGTTTGTACTCACCTATATAGAGAGATGTCATCTTGGGTTTCACGTTCTCATCAATGTATGTAATTCCTAGAGTGTAGAGGGGTGCTGCCCCCAAACCATGGAGGAACTGTGCCCCTACAAACACCCAAAAATATAATGAAAGCCCACTGGTCTCCTCCATAGAATCGCAAGGATCCGTCCCGTTACGACCCGCGTCACAATACTCATAGTCCGACGATCTGAATTCATAGTTTGGCGTCGTAAATTGCGGAAGCATGAATACAAAAGAGCCGATGGCAAAGACGAAAGCTCCAAAGGCGAGGATTCTCGGCTTGTGGCGCTGCTCTCCAAAATATGTAACAAAGACGATGACAACCATAACTGAGAAGTCGTATGAGCTGGAGATGAAGCCACTCTGCACGGATGGAAGTTTAAAACGCCTTTCTAGCGTCGTTGTGATAACGTAGACCAGTCCGTTAACGGTGATACCTTGCGTAATGGCGAATATACAGAGAAAAACAAGAAACCAGGGGATCTTGGCGCATGACTGTAACGACCTAGGATGCATCTTTCCCCATCCGCACGTTTCTCCGACTTCTGAGAGATCGTCGACACTTTCGTCGTCGTACACGCCGCCGTGAGTTTTGACCGAAGTGTATCCATTGGAGGATGGTTTCTGATGCACCACATCAATAACATCAAGGTCCCCTGGCGAAATGGTGTTAATCGTTCGAATACCAGGACTGGCATTGTTGCTGGAGTTAATAGTGTGCACGTGATTCGAATGGCCATTTCCATTTCCGACATGTACACCATCCATAATATTACTATTATTGTTAAACGACTTTTCCTCTGAATAATCCATGGTTATATTTCCCAAGTGTCTCTTGAACTATAAAATGTATATCTGATGATGGAAGGGAAAAAATGATACAATACTGCCTCAGTGTATCTTACTCTGCGCTTCAAGAAGTCATTCCAAATAGCATCTGCAATGCTGGCACGTTGTGCGTACTATCCATGCGAAATGACTATGATGAGTTCACCAGCTACTCAGAGCTGCCGCACATGTTCCCAGTTTGTACACGCGCAGGGATGGGTACACAATAAAAACATCTGTTAGTCCAAGACTAGATGGAGAAGGAGAGTTGAAATCATTCTTTAGGGTGGAGTCTGCGAGTGTCATTAACAACCAGGGCCTCTGGACAGTCGAATGATTGCCAGGAATGTAAAGACAGCAATCACATGGACAGGGTTTTGGCAAAGACAGTGCTGCCTGTAAGTTGAGAAGGTTACGTAGGTTCAGTTACTGAAGATACTAAATGAATGCACAATGCTCTCAATGGTTGTAGTACAACAATTTGTTTTGATCTTCTCGCTCTCAAGAGCTCAAATGATTTACAGCCCCTACAAGGGTTGTCCTAAAGCAATAAGCTTGAGGGATGAAACGCTATCAATGTTTTCTGAGGAGGACACGGTCCGTGACCGGGTGACAGGAAGATGAACAGGACGCTAAGTTCAAATATAGGCAAGCGGATACCTGCACGCACCTTTGGGACCTACCACTCAGATTGAGATCCTATTAAGTAATAAGCGGTGAGGTAATTGGTCATGTGATCAGCAAGGTGTGCGTAATTCTCGGCCTGCGTTAGCCAACGAATCATCAATCAAGGATGTAACGTCCACGATGGATGCGCAGAACTGACTCAGGTCATGTGACGTCCCAGCGGGAGCACGTACCTTGCAGACAATCGAGTGGTTAGCTGTCACTCTGACGTATGATGGACAGTCGTGTTATGGAGCGACAGTCCCAATGAGGATGCAGATCAAGGGCCTTGCGGTGGCTAACAATATGATCCTCAGTATGACGTCACCTCAATTGTGTTTTTATGATGCAGCAGGAACTTCCACGTTACTAGTCCGGGGCTGTGAGTGACGTAATACACCAAGCTACAGGAAGTGTACCATTCAAAGCAGATGGAATCCTGTGCACAAGTGAAAGAAAACAAAATATTGAAAAATTATTTGGCAGGTGCAACTTCAAATTCTGTTTTACAGAGCAGAAAAATTTAACTCTGCCTATATGGTAAAATAAGAAACTTTTGCTACACTAGAGTTGTAGATTTTTTTTCCTCTTTACCTCTTCAGAGGCACTTTATCATTCCATTTCAAAATACATATCGACTATTTACAAGACAAGTGAAACAAGACATATGAATTATATACAAGATCAACATAATTTCTTTGTTAAAGATTGCCATTTTTGCCAAGAGAAATTCCATTAAAAAGCAAACTTTTACTATTGTGATTCTTTTATAATTAATTGCAGCTTGAAACTTATAAATCTGCACCACTTGTGAAACCACAAAGGTTTCTTGCAACCAAAAGTGATTGGTTTTATTGTATCTGATTTTTTTCTTCAATATGAACAATATATCAAACAACCTTGGATCTCAATTTTTAACACGCTAGTCATTGTGATTTGGTCATGTTAGCCTAATCTTAAAAACAAATACTTATTAATGTCTATTGTTATTGGAACGATGCATTACTCTCAAGGGCTTCTTTCCAATGCAAGAATGAATCACTGTTAAACCAAAAATAAAGAAAACGCAAACAATTTGCATTTGAGGTCATCTTGTATTCATGTTAGCCTAATCTCAAAAACAAATACTTATTAATTTCCATTGTTATTGGAACGATACATTTCTCTCAAGGGCTTCTTCCCATGAAAGAATGAATCACTGTTAAACCAAAAATAAAGAAAGAAACCCAAACAATTTGCATCTGAGGTCATTGTACACCAACAAAAAACAGCTCAGAGCTCATTTCATGGGGCATTTCACTTCAATACAAGTGTGATGGGGTCATTCACATGAGTTCAGTGTCAGCAGAGTGGTGCGTGACAAAAGAAGAAGCAATCAGAGAAAAGGGCTCTGTTTAGAGAGGAGATTAAGATCAGTAAACCTGTTGCATACTTCATTACACTTCTATTGAAGTAGGAATTAGCTCCCAATGCAAGATGACAATCTCCAATTGCAGCACTATAATCTTATTTGATTTGTTAATTGTTAATTGGTTTCAAATGAAAATCAATAAAATCCCTGCGGAGGGAAAAATATGGAAGAAAAAAAAAAATCTTATTTGATTTCCATCAAAATTAATGATCCTTCTTTGATTACAAGTGGGTTTTTTCATCATTGGACCCACCAAGGCCTGAATTTGAGAAAAGTCACTCTCACAACCAGTTGAAATTGCAAATAAACAGAATTTTATACTTTATTGCGTGGTTTATATCTTTCAAGTCAGGAGAATGGGGGAAACCTAAGGAATATTAATGGGTCAATTAGTCCAATGTGTGGTGTTTCCCACTTTCCAATACATAGATTTTCCTGCCTTTCATCTATCAAAATAATACTGAAAATATTCATCATACAGAATTTTGTTATTACCAACTTCACTGTTTCAATTTACTTAAACCTACATTTTGGAACTTACACTACTATTCCCTCATTTCTGTACAAGTAAAATCAATGCCCAAAATACAACTAAGATTTCCAGAGTAAACATGTAATAAACAAAAGTCCCATTCAAAAATATTGACAGGAAATGACAAGGTAATTAAAATGGCTGGTACATGTCAGCACCTAAAACAAACAGCTCATAATAAAATTCCATGGAAACAGAAAGCAAAAGGGTGATTACTGGAATGATACATTCCAGGATCCACCCACTCTGATTACTACTGGCAATTAACCACAAACAAACAAATTAATTAGATTTCACATCCTCTTGACTGGCCATATAAAGTATCAGTGTTGCTTCAATCAGTAACAGGCTATCGGATGTATGTATGAGATCCTGTATATCTATCAATATAATGGATTGTAAGAAAAAAATTAGAGAGAAGACAAAAAAAAAAAAATTTAACAGAAAAGAGAAAAGGATTTGTAACATTTCCCTGATTAAACCATGACCACAAATGTATCATAAGGAAGAAGAGTAAACAAGGAACTTGGGAATTTTCAAGAAGTTTTTGCTATTATCATTGTTTTTCAAACGATATAAAATTGTTAATATTAGAAGTTCAAGTGCCTTACCAATCTACTTGGAACACATCTATAACAATGATTTCATAAATGAGTGAAAATATGGTATATCACTTTTCCTTCAAAATCTTGTCAGACTCAAAGTAACAAACAGTTGTTGAAGAAGCTATTTCCAGCTCTCAGTAAATATTTGACAATCATTCAACCAGCACATTGGTTGTCAATCAAACTAAAAGAGAAACAGAGTATTCTGATTTCTCAATCAACCATCACATTCTTGATTCATCAAGCAGAATGACAGAGGAAACAATCCTGAATGGTATTACTTCCTTGAAATATCCGCATGAGCCATCTAAAAAAAACAAAATAACACTGAAGTAGCTAAGGACTGTATAGTACCTCCATTCACAAAATAGGGCAAAATTGGATTCTAACCAAGTAAGAAATCTGCAAGAAATATTCATAAAAGCACAGTTGAATATGATATTGAATAGTGTCTGCGCGCTTTAGAAGTTTTAATGACATTGATACTGATGATGATAATAGTATTATTATCATTATCATTATTATTATTATGATTGTAATCATTAATATTATTATTATTATTACTATTATCATTATCATTATTATTATTATGATTGTAATCATTAATATTATTATTATTATTACTATTATCATTATCATTATCATTATTATGATTGTAATCATTAATATTATTATTATTATTACTATTATCATTATCATTATTATTATTATGATTGTAATCATTAATATTATTATTATTATTACTATTATCATTATCATTATTATTATTATTATAATTGTAATTATTAATATTAATATAATTATTATTATTAAAGGTACTATTGTTATTATTATTAATACACGCCTTTGAAGAAAAAAATTATACAACTTTTTTTGGCATTGGCTCACGAATGACAAGGATTTGTGTCGCCAAAGTATCCCAAATGCACTGCGAGAGAGGGCAGAAATAGAAATACCATTCTCACTTTCCCAATCGGAGATGGGTATCATTAAGCAAGGTATTCCATTCATATTTCACTTTTACGCACTGAGATCTCTTCAAAATTGACAGTATATGACACTGTCAAGGGTAGCGTTGTCTGCCCTGACCTGATTCTCAACAGATATCATCAAAACTTCATCAAGTTCTTCAGCAATAAATTAAAGGTCAAATGCGAAAGGAATTACAATTAGATACCTTGTCTGATCGGGTATTATATGTATGAAGGTCATATCAAAGTCCATGTCTGTTTCTTATCTATTTTATTGTCCAAAGACGGAATTAGCAAATACATTACACCTATAACTACACATACATGTAGTCCTGAAAAATTCTACCAAATTGTGCATAAAAGTCATGTAATATGATTGCAGGGCCCTCAGGGAGAACAGTATTAATGCTGATGAGGCTACCCTGGGTAAACAAGACATACTTATTATTATTATTATTATTATTATTATTATTATTATATAGTCCATTTTTTGTTTTAAATGATTGTCCAAAGACAGAATTAGCAAATAGTATACCGTACTCATAATAACACCACTTCCTGAGAGAAATTATACTACCTATATGAGTTAATTTCAAAAGAAAATAATTACATACATAATGCTCTAATTACAAGTCATATACAGCACCAGAATTCCTTTATGTTTCATCTAAACACTGCTATTTGCATATATAAAGAACTACATGTATTCCCTGGTGTATAGAAAATGCTACGTAGGAATATCTCCTTCATGAGTTTTCTAGAATTCTAGCAGATATTGCTGGGATGTATTCAGCTTTCCAGGAGAGACATTATACCTTTCAAACATTAACTTAAGACATGACAATATTACTATCCATGTTGAAACTTTTTTTGAAGAACGTCAATTGGAACGTTTCCAATCCATTTGACAAAAGTAAAAAAAAACAACGACAAAAAGATTATGCCAAATAATTAACAAATGAAAGATTCAATCGTCTTAGCTCACCTGAAGTTAACAAAAGGCTTGCAAATCCACAAAGCAATATTTACCGACTAGCTTACACGTTACTGACTTCAAAGATTCAACAATGCACACATGTCTTCAAATTTATCAAGTTCTATCGGTCCAAATTCCAACAATCACGAGAGGTGCTTCTCTCTCTGCTTGCACACTAAAAATGAGTCGGTCATTCACTGTACCAAAAAGGTCATCATCATTCACAGGTACATCACATACCTCACAGGTTGTCCCGCCAATCATACAAAAGAAACTCTTACAATTCAACGTTTGTCAAAACGCTATTCTCCAAAGGTTCAGCAACCAAGGATAGGGTCCTGTGGTCTCCTTTATCACAGGGCCGAGGAACAAGTACGCTTCTTTCACTCAAGTGTGGTTCTTTCACTGAAGTGTCAATTCTTGGCTAGGCATGCTGTTTGGAAACGGAAAGGGTATTGTGCACCAATAAAATCTTTTATCATCAGGGTGCATTCACATTCACATTTAATTTTTTTTTTCTACACACGTCATTAGTGGATAGGTACGTAGTAGCGATTTGGCATTATCACTGCAACTATGGGTGTGATCATAGTCACATTCAGGTTTTAGCTTGGAACAAATTGTCAAACACATTCTAAACTGTCTGAAGGACCGCCACAAATTTAAGCAGAATAATGTAATTTGAAATGAGTGTTAAAAAAAAGGAAAACAATTTCCTGTCGGTTTCCTTTTTTACTCTCACGCTCTCTTTATTGAATTCATACTCCAATATCTCCCTCCCTTCCACTCACCTGAGTAAACTAAAAAGTACAGAAAAGTAGCTGATGGCTCAATCTCCTCAAAAAATTGAAAGATTTAGTCACTCGTGAATGCACTTCTTACAGAGGAATAGTTTTCTAACCTATCTTCCATTGGACCCAATATGAACAAAAAGTTTAAAATAG